ATGGCAAAAGAATTTGCAGCCTTAGAAGCAAATAGAACTTGGAAGCTTGTTCCTTTACCTGCAGGAAAGCGTGCTATAGGATGTAAATGGGTTTACAAAACCAAGTTCAATMAAGATGRGACAAYTGAAAGATATAAAGMACGGTTGGTAGCACAASGCTTCACTCAAAAACAGAATGAAGAYTATTRTGAGAYATTCTCTCCGGTTGTCAAGTTTACTACTATCAGATGCATTGTAGCACTTGCTGTCAAACAACATTGGCCCATTCATCAGTTAGACATCAACAATGCTTTTTTACATGGAGATTTGCATGAAGAAGTTTACATGAAAAGACCCAAAGGTATGGTTTGCACAAATGATAACTATGTTTGCAAACTTAYGAAGTCTTTATATGGTTTGAAGCAGGCTTCTCGTCARTGGTATTCAAAGTTATCTGARGCATTAAAAGCAAGAGGATTTCATCATTCTCARAATGATTAYTCTTTGTTTCTCAAAAAKACAAAAGAGTCKTTCACCATWGTGGYTGTATATGTTGATGATGTCATCRTGACCGGAGATTGTATTTCTGAAATAGAAGAGTTRAAGAAGTTTTTGCATAAAACTTTTCAAATCAAAGAYTTAGGYCTTCTTAATTACTTTTTGGGATTGGAGTTCTTGCGAAGTGATCAAGGAATCTTTCTAACTCAGAAGAAATAYCTCACTGAGTTACTTGATGAGTATGGTATTACAACTGCTGAAAAGGTGACAACTCCGTTACCTTGTAATTTGAAACTCATGCCARACATGCCTAATCCTTTAGAAGATCCGAGCAAATATCGAAAGTTGGTGGGGAAACTCAATTTTTTGGTTCATACTCGGCCTGATTTGGCATTTAGTGTTCAGTTTCTYAGYCAGTTTAATCAAAATCCCTCAAAAGCTCAYTGGGATGCTGCYCTACACGTTCTGAAGTATTTGAAAGTATTTGGTTCTTTYGGGTTATTTTTCAATGACAAATCAGATTTCTCTCTTTCTGCTTATTGTGATTCAGATTRGGCATCTTGTCCGTTTTCCAGAAGGYCAGTAAGTKGTTACTTTGTTTCTTTTGGGGGGAGTCCTATATCATGGAAGTCAAAGAAACAAGTAACAGTTTCATTGTCTTCAGCCGAGGCTGAATTTAGATCTATGAGAAGAATTACAACTGAACTTACATGTGAGCAGACTTTTGGCAGATTTAAGAGTGGAAAACATTACTCCAATTGCTTTGAAGTGTGATAATCTTGCAAGCATACATATTGCTAACAATCCAGTTTTTCACGAAAGGACAAAGCACATTGAACTGGATTGTTATTATGTTAGAGAACAGTTACAAGCAGGGGTCATTGCTGTGGAATTTAGGCCAACAAAGTCACAACTTGCAGATGTTTTTACCAAATCGTTACCCCGGCCTAAACATTTTGATGTTATTTGCAAGCAGCTTGAAGGGGGGGTGTTAGAATTAGTTATTATTTTCTGTTTGTTAGTTCTAATTAGTTAGACTGTTTAGTTTCTTCTTGTATAAATAGTCCTTTTCCCTTTTACTTTTGGAATACACAGAAATATACAACTTCTTCTACTTTTTCCTTTTCTCTCAATTTCTCTCTACTCTCTGCTCTCGTCTCACAGCCTCCCCCAACCAACCAATAGAAACTTAGCTCCTCCTCTAGGGAAAACACATAATATGTTTCATCCTCTAAACAAATCAAGAGTGCTGTTAGCCTGCTCCATCCAAATGTTTGCCGGTGATATTAATAATATCAAAGCATTGTAGTGGCCAACATTTCACAGGTTAATGACAAGCCTCCCCTCCATTTCAACTAATATAAGAAAAAAGCTTGAATTTTGGGACAATTTCCAAGATTCCTTGATAAAGTTACCTTTTCGGCTTTAACTGAATAGTAGACTGCAGAAATTGCTTCCTGGCATTCTAGGCTACATGATGTCATGTAGTGATACAGAATACATGTGAAGGTAAATCTTGCTAGGGCACTTTAGCAATTCTCTGCACCTTAACTTTGGAAGTTTGATGCAGTTACCCCTTGTTGGTCAATGCAAGTGTCTAGTAATGTCAAGTATGATAACATCAGCTTTAATACTAATTGATCAAAGTTCCTTTAGCTAAGCGATGGTTGAGAAATATATGCACCCTGTGCCACTTGGCCTGATACTGATCTTGACCATTCAAGGTTATTTTCTCATGAACTACTCGATTGAGATGATGGTATGCATGTGTGAACTAAACCAATGATATGAACTCCTTACGCATTAATTAGAACTGAGAAAATCAAGCTCAACCCAAAACTAGAATAAGAGTAAGTTATGAGTCCTGATTACTTGAAAGTTGAAACTCACCATTGTAGCTTGGTTCAGGCTATTGAGTTGTTTTGTGGGAGTTAAGCTTAGTGCGATCATTAATTATTCTTTTTCATAATTAATATAATTAATGTCGATGCTGTGGGTTTTATTGTTTGCATTTGGACCATGTTCCAATTTATTCTTACTGGTGTGTTATGCTGCCAGGTCAAAGTGGAATTATCAGGGAAGGAAACACAAATTGTATTTGACAAGGTTTTGACAAATTTGGCTCGTACAGCGCCACCAGTTCCAGGCTTCCGCAGACAAAAAGGAGGTAATATGTAAATTGGCAGAAAGATGTCAAAATTGCTTTTATGGTTGATTTTATGTTTCAAAACAAACTCTATTTCTCTCTCTCTCTGGATGTAATGTTAGTAACAAACTAATGACCATATCCATCTTTCTGATGCATTTGATGGTCAGGTTTTCAATTATTTTAGCTCACTAAGAAAATTTCTCTAACTTCTATTGTTTTTGCCATTGCTGATCATTCTGTGGTACTTTGAAGATTCGTCCAATAATAGTTAATAAGCACTTCGAACTGCTTCCTATATACTTTCATGAGTTTTGATTATCCTTAAATTATGTCTTGATGGACAGCACCCGAACTATTTGATGGGAATTGAGATGTGGGAGTATGTCTTCCTGTCAGACATAGGATATGCTGCCTATGTTTAGTGATATGTGTTTTGGATTTATTATTTGGCTCGTTGGCGAACCTTGTACTTATTTCTACTTTGTTCAATGAGAAGAATTCACATTTTGAGACCCATTTCTTTCATGATCTCAGAGTCAAACTCCAAATACAAACCCCATCCCACACAGCAAGCATTGCGGCCCCTTGCTACCATGCATTCTAAGTAACAGTTGTGCAACTTCGTTATTACTTCACTGGTTAAATCAGTGTAAATAAATAGAAGAGAAAAGTTCAATACAGAATCTAGAATATTAGAACAATATAGAGAAAAGTTGCTCAAAACCATAGCAAAGCTAATTACACTAGGAACCAGCCAAAAGATAGGTGATCGCAAAGCAATCTACAATTAGCGTAACCCCCCCCCCCCCCAAAACAGCCCCATGTCTCTGCAATCAACATTAAACCTTGATATTTTTAACTTGAGTTTAGAGATCTCTACCTTGGCTTAATTTCTCCCTGTGACACGACATAGAAGCAAACAAAATCTTCACCCTCCAAGATGAATATCTAGTATAGCAAACATGAATCAAAGTTAAGCTTTTAGTTGCACTTGTCTATAAGTAGAGCTTTGATCATCACAATGAAAAGGAACTCATGATATTTGAGATTGTCACCATTTCAACCATACTTTAGAACTAAATATCAGAAGTACCCTTCAGGTAGCTTGGAATTATTTCACTGCTTGCTAATGAGTTATCCAGTAGATATGATAAGTACATATTCACCATGTGGTGACCTGTGAAATGTCCTTATGGATGCAGACAATATAACATAACAATAGCAACTGTGCTCAAGAATAGAACACGTTGGATACTTTACCTTCTCATGTGTTTGTGGAGATGGGGCTAGAGGCAATGGGCTTCCTGAATCTTGATACTACAAGTACGATATCCTTTGTAGGTTTTGCTTTGTTTCCTTTTTATTTATCCTCTCTTTCTGTTGTGGGGATGTGACTATGTGTTGTCCTTCACAACCTGGTTTAGAGCTTAGATAAAAAGACGGTGAAGTGCCTAGTTGTTAATGTTGTATTATAATCCAGAATATTAAGTCATGGATCCTTAACAAATGGAGAACCCAGGCTAACCTTTGGATGGCCATGAAGCAGATACTTGTGCACGGCCTAAGATTCATGATGTATACACACCCCTGCATCTTTGGTGAGTTCATGGAAAGTTGGTAAATGAAATGGGATTAATGGTGGTTCATGTAAATTGTGTCCCTTGCTAATATGGATAACTCTCTTTTATAATTATGCATGATCCCTTTTGGATGTTATCTTGTGGATTCCTCTATAAGGATCCTAGGGGGTTGGTAATCTAAGCATCCTCATCATCTTAACATCCACATATTTGCTTCATACATTTCTTCGGTCATCTGTTGACTCAAGCTAATAAACCCAAGCTAATAAACCTGAAACATGTGTTTGTGTGACAGTATATTTTACTTATTTCTTCATCAGGTTCACCGAGTATCTTAATAGTTCATGATGTTAATATTCAAGGATATGATTATAGGCACTAATTGCAATTTAATTATAATTTCTATGGCTGGTTCTAAGTTATAAAAATTCCAAAATCATTTTTAAAGTCCTTCAAACCGTTGTTTGGATTCTGTAACTAGCCTTACTTGTATACTCTTCCACCATATTACGTGTTTACTGACAGAATATATACATTTTCTTTTATATATGAAACTGATATTTTGGTCGATGTGGCTTTATGATTTTAGCTTGTTGGTTACTGGCTTTATGTTTAATTGCCGAGTTAATGATCTAACTTTTTTAATGATGTACCCGTTGCTATTAGATGTCCTTTTTACACATTGACCTGGTGATGTGACATGATGTGTGCAAATAGACAACTATTTAGCCATCCCAACATCCGAAAAAATATTGAAGTTCAGGTTAATTTCAACATTTTTTGTCTAGATTGTGGCAATTCTGAACTCTGGTTTGTAGATATATCAGACCACTTGTATTGGTTGTTGTTCGTGACCTGAGGGGAAAAACAGTGATTGAACTATGACGAGAGAATCATACCCATTGCAGCATATGTCAGCATTTAATCTACAATATCGACTCATGTCCCTGTTTAGCTACTCACTCAGGGTCTTACGGGCATGTCTTCTTTGCCAGTGTCATTGAACTATAGGAGTATTTCCATTTCTGCATGTAGGATGGCTAAAACTTATTTGCACACATGATGTCAATGTAGGCACAGTAAAATGCATATCCACTAACAACAAAGGCTACAATGTAAAAAAATTGTCATGCTTGACAAGCCGGTGATTAGAAACAAAATGACAGTGACCAATTTGTCTGTTTCTCTAGACATTTTTGCACTTATAGTAAATATTGCCTATTATCCCGCTCCATTCTTGCAAGTCTGGTAATCCTAACCCCTTCTCTTTTTTGCACGTGGATGATGGCCTTCAGGAAAAACATCCAAGGTACCATCACATGATCTATCTATTTTTTTTATTTATCGAGACAAAATTCAATGTTCATAGTCTGATTCTCCCTATATTCCAGCTTATAATTCACTTTCTACAATTACAAACCTCATAGACAATTGCTTGTTCCCAAGTTTGCCCCACTATACAACCATTGCAACTTGTAACTACTATCATTCTTGTTGTAATCATGGTAAAACAGTAATTTCAATTTTGGAACTTCACACTCCATTGATGTGAAATTTTCGTTTCCATAAAGCCAGCGATTACTATTTTGGTAGATGGCAATGTTTCATCAATCACACGGTTTTGCAGAATAAATTAAGGAAAGGTTGCAATTTTAATGGGGGCTACCCAAAATGGAAAGTTTACCAATCTCTCTGGGATAGAGGGAGTAATACCCTTTGATGAACAAAAACTATGGTTCTGTCTGTATTGGTTGGCAAGTTTTGTTTTTAGTAGTCTGTTATCAGGCAAGAAGGCTAATGCTGAAACTTTTGCAGGTGCCCAAAAGCTTTCTATTGTCAATTATTGGTGAAGACCGTGTTACGAAATTTGTTATTCAGGAAATAGTTAGCTCCACCATGGCCGATTATGTGAAGAAGGCAAGTTATTGCTAGCTTCGTTATCTCTAACAGCTATGCTATAATTTTTCTAAAATAGAGGATTGAAAATCAAAATCTCTAAAAAAATTAGATCAAACACCAATAGCTACTCTATTTTAGCATTAACTATATTATTAAAATATTCAATACATTTAATAAAATATTATTTCTCTCTTAAACATTTAATTTTTAATAACTCTTATTGGTGGGAAAGAATTACGATATTATTTCTCTCTCCTATATAGAGTTTCAGAGATATCTCCAAATATGGAGATTTACACTTCTCTCTCTTATTTTCTCAATTTTAGCCTACGTTTTAGCATAACTGTAGGATCAAAAGAATTTCTAAATCTCCAAAATCTTTATTTTAGCATAGGTTTTGAAGATGATATAAGGGTCCATTTGGTTTGTAGGAATGGTTTTGAGGGATTTGGATTTCATGGAAGGATTTGGATTTGGAATCTTTGGTGTGTTTGGTTTGTAGGATTTGGAATGGAATTGAAAGTCATTCTTTATGAATACCAACCACCCCTGTGGGATTTCAAAATCCTATGTTTGATGATTTTAAAGAAATCCTAGGATTTCAAACCCGAGCAATCCTGCAAACCAAACACGGGATTGAAATGGATTTGAAATCCAAATCCCGCCAAATCCATTCCATTCTTACAAACCAAACAGACCCTAAGGTATTATGGAAAACCTAAAGTTTGGTTTTTTTTAGATGAATCGAGTTGGGCCAAAAGACCATTGTTACCAAGAATTTTTTTTTTCTTTCTCCAAGGAAGAAAGGTTGTAAACTCTGTGACACATTTTTGCAGAACAATATCTGTGTAAAGGATAACAAGATCAACACCATTCAGAGTGCAGAAGAACTAGAGTCCTCATTTAACCCTGGGAGTGATTTTGGATTCAATGCAACAATAGAGCTTGAAAAACCAGATACTGAAAGCTTAGAGTCATCTGAAGCATGAAAGTGGCAAATACTCTCACATTGTTTATAGCTTTGATTTGAGTCATGCTATCACTCTCAACAGACTTACTGATTATCCAGTATTTGAATGTATTTATCAGTTAGTTTATGAAAAAGAGTTCTAAAAAAATTTATGTGTCCGGTAATTTACTTGTGAACATAAAATTCAAGGGATCGTGCATTACTATTGCTTAATAGTTTGTTTTTAAGGCTTTTACCAAATGCTCTTATAATATAATATGGACACATGACCTCGGGTTTGTTGGGAGGATGTATATGGTTGTAATGTAGTGGAATCTTGTTATGTGCTTGTGTCATTACATTTTTGCTTTGTTGGTTCGGTATTATTATTGTGACATGTAAATCGTTTGTGATCCATTTTGTTTATGCATCTTAGTTGTTGGGTTGTTTACACACATTTTGATTATTTGGGACATTTATGTATCAGTTTTGAAAAAATCTCAACAGTAAGTATAAGAATATATTATCATCAGTATGTCATTTGTAGTCAAAAGTTTTAAAACCAACACGATAAAGAATGATTCTGACAATCGATATCAAATAAACCTTTGGGCCAAGTTGCCAAGTCATAGTAACCAATAGAGATGGCCAAAAACCGGTCTCGACCGGGCCCAAATCGGTCCAGGTCCCAAAGCTGCTTTATGTAACCAGTCCTCCGGTCCAATCTCCATGGTGTGTAACAGATCCTGGTCTGGGCCGGGCCCAAATTGATCATGGTTTTTTTTGTGTAAATCGATTTTTAGTATATACAAATTATTTTTTGAATTTTTTTTTAAAAATATAAAAAAACTATTATAATACACTTTAAAATATGTAGTTGGGTCAATCAAATACACTTAAAAAGTACGTTTTATTATAATTTCGTAATTAGTTTTCAATTAAATACACTTAGAAATACAGTTAAAAATACATCAATACAATCCTAGAAAATGCTTCTTTCAGCTTGAAGCCTAAGACCATCCATACACGCCTTGCAAAGCAATTGCAAAAGCAATTGCAAAAATGCAATTTTGTGCCACATAGGATTTCACTTGCAAGATTTGCAAGTCAATTTGCAAGCCACGTGGCCCACTCACTTCTCTCCAATTTTATTTTTTTCTTTTAATTATTTAAATAAACTATTTTTATAAAAACAATTAATTTTATAAATTAATAATGTTAATATATTTTTAATTACATTAATTATATAATAAATTAAATTATTTTAAACATTAAATTTTATAATTACATAAAATTATAATCTAATAT